GAGTGCTTGCAGTCTTGCCATGTAGGCGCACTGAGCTAGTATGCTTGTTCTGTCTTACCATGTAGAATTTTCTGTTGTGTTGAGAGGTAGTAGGAAGCCCTCACCAGATGTTAACAGGTATCACACCACATCTCTGGACTTTCCTGCATCCAGAATCAGAGCTAAGGACACTTCTGTTCTTTGTAAGTTACTTGGCCTCAAACATGTTGTTATAGCAACAGGAAACAACCCAAGACTGGGCCAATAAGAAAACTGAGTAAACAAAGATTTTTATCTCTCACCTGATGGCCTGAGTTCAATCCACAGAATCCACACTTGGTGGTTGGAAGTAACCAACTTCCACAAGTTGTTCTCTGACCCCCACACATGTTAGATGGATGTTAGAGTAATAGTTGTGTGGATACAGGGACTGGAGACTGACAGTACACAAAAAGGAATTTATGACCATTCCCACCTACATTTTAGTCATGTGAAAATACTCATTTTGAGAGTTTGATGAAACTATAAGCCTACTAACTACTATTTTAGTATTTCCACATTTATTTCATGTTAAAACAATAAAGATATCTGGGTAGAGTGATATTGAGAAAAATAGATCAAAAGATTAAGAAACTAGGAAAGAGTCGGGCCACATAAGTTCAGCTCTGCCATGATGGAGAGTTTTGATGCTATCATCATAGGGTGGGGAATCTCTGGAAGATTTAGGGGAAGAGAATGACATGAACTGTGAGAGAATGAGGAGAATGAACTGTGGCAGGAATAGAAGCCAGAGATAGCATGCAAAAATGATGGAATATTCAAGTAAGCTCATGGCAGAGTGAAAGGGGCCAATTTTGGATACATTTTGGAATTAGAGCTATAAAGATGGGTTTCTGGGTAAGAAAATACATGGCACTAGGTTTTTGCCTGAGTAGATGGTGAGTGCAGAACTGCTTATTGCTATGATGGAGAAAAGGTGTAGTACAATGGAGACTGGACCCAGGGCCCCTGCTGCTGACCTGCTTCCCAGTTTAAGAGCAGTGTGAAGGCTCAGCCACTTACAAACAAAGATGTTCAAATGACAGCAGAGTCCAGAGTGATTGTGGATGGCAAAATAAGTCATCGATTTACAGAACTAACTGGGTGCCCTGAGGCTGAAGATTGCCTAGGGGATGAATATATCATCTGTGGGTGAGTGGAACAGAGGGATGGCCTTAGGTCAACACTTTAAAGAACCAGGAGAGGGTAGGGGGAGTTCAGAAGATACAGTGGTAAGCCAAGGCCACTCCCAGGGAGCAGAAGGAGTCCTCTGTCACATGTATGGAGACTTCTCATATGAAGAGGTTGGCAACTCCTTTGGCAGGATGCAGGGTAGATACAGGGGGTTAAAAATTGATTAGTTAATGCAGTAAAAAAAGGAAGGCTTTGCTGGATGGTGGTGGTGCACGCCTTTAATACCGGTACTCGGGAGGCAGATGCAGGCAGATTTCTATGAGTTTGAGTCCAGCCTGATCTACACATCAAGTTCCAGGACTGGCTCCAAAGCTACACAGAGAAACCCGGGGGTGGGGTGGGGGGTGGGAGACTTTAAGACTATTCTTGTATAGCAGAAAGCACCTCCTAAAATTAATGGTTAAATAAAATACATTAAACTTTATAATATTTTTCTTTATGAGACAGGGTCTTGGTATTCCAGGCAAGCCTCAATTCTGTAGAACTGTGGATGACCTTGCATTTCTGAGCCTCCTGCCTTTGCCTCCCAAGTGCTAGCATTACAAGTTTGTACCACTGTACTTGGTTTTATGCAGTGCTTGAGACTGAACCTAGGCCTTTGTGCATGTCTCCCATATACGCCTCCCTGTTCTCTTCAGATTCATGGCCTTTTCTTAATGCACTCACGCGCGCGCGCACACACACGCACACACACACACACACACACACACACACACACACACACACACACACACCCTAAATATAATCTGTCCACTCTGTATATTATTTATGCATGTTTCAAGGCTGACCGCTTAGTATTGGGTAACCAGTTAGTGTGCTCTTCTCTGTAGAAGAATATTTCTCCTACTCTTAGTGTTCCTTAGTTGCCTGTAGTTATTTGTGTAGGGTTGAGGTCTCGTGGCCTTTTCCGTATCCACTTTGCATGTCCATTGGTGTTGTCCTTGTTCAGCTCACATTTGGATGGTCATGTGGGTGAGGCTTTATGGGTGTAGCTTCTGATGTTACTAGGAAACAATCTCATTGCAAACTCCCTGGTCCTCTGACTCCTACCCACTTTTTGTCCCTTCTGTCATCTGCTTGTTTCCAAGTGTTTGCTTTGTTCTCTGGGATGTACTGACTGTGACCTTCTCAGGTTCTGCGCTCTACCCCTAACTTCAGCCTTTACTTAGCTGCCATGTGATCTTCAACTCAAATTTCGGATGACCTTTAAACTTACTTGCTTGTCATCACCCCACAGCTGACCACTGTGTTTTAGTTTAAATTCCTCAATACTAGCTTTGTTTGATCCCTCATGCCCTTTGCTTCTCAGGTCAGTCTCAGTTGGTTGTTCCTGGGTCCACTGTTCAGACCCTGCTGGCAGGGGAGGAAATTCCCTGGGTAAAGCAGATGCAGTCAGTATAGAAGGCAGAGGCCTTTTCTTCTAGCTCTTCATGTTAAAATTACACATTTACTTGAGTGAGTGAGTGAGTGTGCGTGCGTGCGTGCGTGTGTGTGTGTGTGTGTGTGTGTGTGTGTGTATGCATACATGCACACACTTCACGGTATGACGTAAGTAGAAGGGGATTATTTAAGGAGAAGAAAGGGAATCAACAATCCAACAATTAGGGTGGTGGATGAAGATTGTCTTAGAGTTTCTGTTGCTGTGATGAAACGCCATGGGAGCAAGGTTGGGAGGAAAGGGTATATTTGGCTCACACTTCCACATTGCTGTTGTTTGTCATTGAAGGAAGTCAGGGCAGGAACTTAAACAGGGCAGGAACCTGGAGTCAGAGCTAATACAGAGACCATGGAGGGGTGCAGCTTACTGGCTAGGTCCCATGGCTTGCTCTTCCACCAGGGGTGGAACCACATACATTGGGATGGGCCTTCCCCATTAATCACTAATTAAGAAAATGCCTTATAGTTGGATTTTATAGAGGCCTTTTCTCATTTGAGGTTTCCTCCTTTCAGATAACTCTAGTTTGTTTTTCAAGTTATAAGACTAGTCAGTGCAGAGGTGGAATGAAGTGAATATGATTGTGATAATGATCTTTGTATGAAATGTCATAATGAAACCCATTGTTTAGTAATGCAAACTAATTTTTAAAAATCATACCAGTTGAAGGCATAAGTTAAACCTTTAGAGGAATGGCCTGAAGCTGTGGCTAATGAATGAGAACAGGAAGAATAGAAGAAGATGAAGTCCACTGGGTAGGCTTGGCTGGAGTACCGAACTCTTTGCAGACCATGGAGTGGAGTTTTAAAAATATATACTGCTATATGTCATATATGTATTTATATATTTCAAATATGTAATACAGGGGGAAACTTGAAAGTTTTGACAATCACTGTGTCATTTGGAAGAAAATGATAGGACTTAGATTGAGAGTTGTAGTCAGATTTTAGCTTGATATATAAATAATAATGGTTATACTTACATGCTGTTTGAGAGATTTCCATAGTTAAAAGAGGAAGGGCAATAATTAGATGGATGACAGCTGAGGTAGGGTCTATGATTGGAGAACTGGAGAGGACTGTGGCCTGAACTCAACAAACCCTGTGTTAATTAGCTACTAATTCTGCCTGACATTTCCTTTTAAATTTGTAGCAAGGCATTTCTGAGCAGTTCTAAGTTCTCAGTTGCAGTGTGTCAGACTATGAGTGAAAGGCTCTTAAAACCACAAAGGAAATTATCAATGCAACATGTTTCATCTTTATCAGAATTGTAAGATTTCACTGTAGTCTTGAAGTGTATTGACGTTCTGATTTGGGCAATGTTGTCAGTTGACCATGTCCTAGCACAGTGCCCAGAACAAATACATTTGTCCACACAGAGCAAATCTAATATAACTTACAGGTGTTGACCACAAAGGACATAGGTACTGACTAAAGGACACCATTGGTTGACACATTTATGGCCATGATTATTAAATGTTAAGCTTAATGTACAGCATAAGAAAATACATGGATGTTCAAGTGTTTTCTTAATGAAATCCTTAGAGGATTAATAATTTACAAATGACTGAAGAAAATGGCAAAACCTATGAAGAAAATTAAGAGAATCTAATACGGAAATCTGTTTAGCTAATACACAGCACAAAGAGCCTGGCATTGCTCTAAGTTACGTATCTCACTGGTTAAAGTGAGAAAGGAAACGTTGCGAAGCTGTGAATAGTGTAGACAGTGTGGAGCATACAGAGTGGAAGTACGGTGAGCAGTCAGCATAAACAGGGATGGTGGTCTTCACATATGCTCTGTTTCTAGCATTTGCTGTATTCAGTGCTTGCTATTTTCAGGGTCATTCACCAAATCTGAGATAGATTTTCAGCCAAATCTTTTAGAAGCCACTTTGGAGGAGTTTCATTAAGTGGTGCATGTGAAAATAATGATGTAGCTAATTTTATTTGATAAAATAGGTTAAGAAATGTGTTAAATAGTCTTCTCAAAATTATTGAAATTTTCTGTAATAACCTGATCATGATTTTATGGATGTTAGTGCCGGTAATAAGCAGTGCTGGGCTTCCAGGGAGAGTAGGTGTCTGTAATGCTGGGAAAGCCTAAGCACAGTACAGATTGCTGATGGCAGCTGCCTATCTAGAGCAGGCCAAGCTCACCTGTCAGAGATGCCTGTATAGTTTTGTCTAGCAAATTCATCTGAAATTATGAGGCTTGGGGCTCCCTTCCAGCTCAATATGCTGAAACAAATTGCTGTGGAATATAAGATCATATAACACTGAAATTTATAATATTTGTGTGTTGACCTTTGAATTTTTACCACATGCTAAGGCATTTTTCCCTTACTTCCCTAGGGAGTTGGTCTTTCAGTTCATGGGCGATTCCGAGTGGCTACTGAAAGGTCCCTCTTTGCAATGCCAGAAACGGGAATAGGTAAAAAGACACCGAAAGGTTTTGTAATTACTTTTGAATCACATTCCTCTACTATCTGTCAGATATTCTATACATATACATATGGAGCCAAAAGACTCCATGTGAGATACAATGAAAAAACCCAAGAAAGCAAGATACTTTATATTAGTTTAGTAATTATATCACATATAAGAATAGTTATCTGAAGACATTAGTACCCATAAGTTAATCTTGGCAAGGAAAAATATACTCACATTTCCATCTGTGAAACTTTGGGAGTTTCATGGGTCAGCATTCCTATTTTGTGTTAAAAAGAGCTACTCTTGCAGGGTTTCTTGAAAAGGATCTTGTTCCTTCGCCATTGCCTCTGGCGGATGCCGGTGCTGCCCATGCTGCTGTCCTGTCAGTATAATACCATCTTGTTTGCTTTTGCCTCACAGTGCTCTTAAAACCAGGTAGCAACAACCACCCCACTTTACCCCCACCCCCAAGTGCTTTGGTTATAAAGATCATTTGTATTTCTGTAAAAACATCTAGTTTGTCTTCCGTTGTTATATTTCGCAAGTTTACAATCTTATCAGTTTTTCTTTCTAGAAGAGCTTGTATAGAATTGATATCACCTAGTGTAGAATACACCAGTAAGTCCATCTAGGCTAGTAGTTGTCTCTTTGAGAAAGTTTGTAATCATATTTGGTACATGTTTGGCTAGTCGACCTATCTTCTTGTGCAAGCATTGGTAGGTTGAATCTTTGAAGGAATTTTTGCAATCTATTAGTATAATGCTGCCCATGATATTATAATATGTATAGACTCTGTAGTGTTTTCTATCCCTCTCATTTTTGATTAATTTTATGTCTATTCCTTTTTTCCAGATCATTCTAATGTGAAGTTTATCAGTTATTGATCATAAATCTGAATTTGGTTTTCACTTAATTGGTTTTTGCTGAGATGTTTATTATTTTCAACTGCTTTAGTTTTCATTCGCTGCTCTATTTTTCTAATCTTACCAGATAATTAAAAAAAAAACTTTCATGTACACATTTAGTAGAAAGTGTCCTCCAAATTTTGCATTCTGATCTCTTGCCAGGCTAGTCCTATGTGATGAGATACTCTCCTCTGTTCCTGGGCTGCAGCTCCTGGTCGGCCCCATGGTCATAAGAATGTACAGTTGATGCTCTGGGTCCAGCATATGGTGTGGCTAAGTCATGGATGCTCAGTGGGTTGTGTGTGAAGTACATTTCAACTTTCATGGTGTCACTGATTTCAATGTTTTCCAGCAGACTTGGCCTACAGCTCCCTCTTTCAGATACAACTTTTGTACTTAATGTTAGATGTGCTCTTGTTTTATCAGTGTGTGTGACTGTGTGTGTGTGTGTGTGAATGAGTGCATGTGGGTGTGTGTGTTTGTGGTATGTTTGTGGTATGTGTGAGTATGTGAGTGTGTGCATATGTGTGTATGTGGGTGTGGGTGAGTGTGTGTGTTAGGGATTGAACTCAAAGCCTCATAGTGTTAGCTGGGCAAGTGCTCTACCACTGAGGAACAGGCCCAGCCCATTATTTTTTTTTCTAAACTTTGAGAGAGTATTGTAAGTTACTCAGGGCAGACAGGAACCCATCCTGTAGCCCACGCAGCCCTTAAACCTGTGATCCTTGTGTTCCTGCCTGTATCTGTGTGTTCATCTGTAGCTATAATTACATAGCTATATGCCAAGCCCTATTGTTTGTTCATTTTCGATTGTTGTCTCTTCTCTGTTTTCATTTAGTTTCTATTTCTATATTTTAAACTTCTCCCTCTGCAGTCTAATCTGTCCTTAGTATTTGTAAATATTTTTTAGACTGTGAATTCATCTCAGTTTTTATCTATGGAAATGTGATTTGAGTTGCTAAAATATAACTTGTCTCTAAATTTTTTGAATATATGAACAAATTCTTACATCTATGTCAATTTCAATTGATTCAGTCTAACTGTGCATTGTGCATTTAATCCTGCCATATTAGATATCTACTAATTTTTTTTTCTCTTTGAGATAGGGTCTATGTAGGCTAGACTGGCCTTGAACTCAGAGATCCACCTACCTCTGCCTCCCAAGTGCTAGGACTAAAGACATGAACTAGGTGGCTAGTGTGTTGGATAGTTTATGTCAATATGATACAAGCTAAAGACATCCCAGAGGAGGGAACTCAATTAACAAAATGCTTTCAGAAGATAAGACTGTAAGCAAGCCTGTAGGAGGGTATTTTCTTAATTAGTGATTGGTCGGGGAGGGCTGAGCCCAGTGTGGGTGGTGCCATCCCTGGGCTGGTTGTTCTGGGTTCTGTAAGAAAGCAGGCTGAGCAAGCCACAAGGAGCAAGCCAGTAAGTCCCACCCCTCCATGGCCTCTGCATCTGCCCTTGCTGCCAGGTTCCTGCCCTGTTGAATTCCTGTCCTAAGTTCCTCAGTGATGGACAATGGATGTGGAAGTGTAAGCCCTTTCCTCCCCAACTTGTGTTTGATCATGTATTTTATTGTAGCAATAATAACCCTGACTAAGACAGCTAGTAATTTATTTTTATTAGATTCTAAAAAAACTTTTCTTTTGTTGGGTGCTGGATATTTTGAATTTTTTTTCTTTCTTTTTCCTTCCTCCCTAGCTTGTCCTTCCTCCGCACCCCAACCCCTCTCTCTGTGACAGTGTATAGCCCTGACTGGTCCTGACTGGTCTGTAGGTCTGTACTTCTTGATGGCTGGGATTAAAAGTGTGTGCTACTGTGCCTGGTTTTTGACTTTTTGAGTTCTTACAAATGTTCTTGCACTTTTTCCTAGGATGAATGAAAGTTGCTTGCAAGCATTTTGATCTTGTTAGACATAAATGTCTAACAAGGGTTTGGTGTTTTGTTTTGTATAGGGTGGGGATGATGCTTTAAGCTAACATTGATTATATTTACAACTACAGAGACAGGATCTGCCCTTGGGTCTGTCTGGTGCTCAGACTCTTGATCTTCATCTAGTTGGTGAATGTGGTGTTTAGGCAGAGGCTTTCCACTTAGTTTTTGCATCCCTTCCTGAGGCTCAGGTCCCTTTTTCACACACTGTACTGATGAGTTCTAAGGGAGAGCTGTGGATGGAGAGACCCTGAAGTGTAATTAGGGATAGCACCAGGCCATTCAGTTTGTGCCTTTGGGTGGAGGTGGCATATCAGGAGAGAAATGTTGTAGTTGAAGGATGTGAGTCCAGAGTTGTGGTTTTGTGTGTGGAGATGCTTATAAACCATGTGACTGCAAAGATACTCTTGAGTTTGGTATTTGAGGGGAAAGGCACAGCTAGGTTTGAGACTGGTTGTCAACTTGACTGGTCATCAACAAAACTATTAAAACAACAACATCTCTGAGGGTTGAGAGCCAGGGTTAAGGTGTCACTAAGATTGGTTCCTTCTGAGCTGCTTCCTTGCCATGTCTTCATGGGGCCTTCCTTCTTTTGTGTATCTCGTTCACAAGGATAGTTCTGTTGGATTATGGTATCCCCCTTGCAATCTGACATACCTGAATGTAGTCAGAGCTTTTTATGGGAGCCCCTGGCTCCCCACTGGAGACATTGTTAATTACAGAAGCTTAGCCATAGCTTAGGCTTGCTATTGACTAGCTAGGTATTACAACTTAAATTAACCCACATGGCTTGTGGGTTTACCTGTCCACCATCATGTCTTGCTTCCTCTGCATCTCCTGGCGACCCCACCTTTTTCTTCCCAGAGGTCTCTGTGTCTGGCTGTTCCACCTAGACCTCCTGCCTAGCTAATGGTCATTTAGCTTTTTATTAAACCAGTAAGAAGGTGCCTTGGCAAAGATACGCTTTACAGTGTACAAAAGGATTCCACAGCACCCAAGGCTTCATCTCTAAATAATAGCTACATTTTGGGCTGAAGCTTCAAAATAAAGATTTTGGGACACAATTATGTTATTAGTCAATAGTAATCAGCATACGGATGTTACGTAAGGCCACTGGATTCAAGGGAAATGAGCACAGGTGGGCATCCTGATAGCAAGTGTAATAGTTTCTGCAGCACTCAGAGATCAAGTCACATAGAGACATAGATGAAAAGAAGCACTCATTGGGTGTCATCAGAGGCCTTGCAGGATAAGGGCATGTTTCAGGATAGGAGGGTCTCCTGTGTTCAGAATGCCACCATTGAGGCTCTAGTCAGGAGGTGAGATGAGAAAACAGGAGTGGCTAGGGCAGAGCATGATTTCAAGAGATGCCCCTGAAAATGTGGGTGGACATTTTCAGCTGGGTTGGGGGGGGGTGTTCTAATTTAATAAAAAGCACAGCCAGTGACAGTGTTTAAGAAATGTGAATTAAAACTCTGATCAGAATTCATGTTTAAAAAATACCATACTTTCTGGCTATGGTAACCCATATCTGTAATCCCAGTGCTGGGGAGGCTGCAGGCTGAGGACAGAGAACACAAGTTCAAGGCCACTGTGGGCTACTTCACAAGGCTCTCTCTCAAGTTAATAGGAAAAGATGTACTGCGCTTTCTGCCTGGAAAAAGGATATTTTGTTGGTTGCACTGGCTGTTGTTCTTTAGGTACCTTTTGTCTTTGAGACAAGTTCTCCTTGCTGGCTTGACCTCAGTCAAGCTAGTCATGTGATCCTGGTACTTCTCTGTCTTGCTTGTCCAGCTCTGGGATTGCAATGAGATGCTGCTGCACCTGGAATTTTAAACATGAGTTCTAGGGATCAAACTCAGGTCCCTACTGAACCATCTATCACCCAGTATTGCATACTCGTAAGATACAAGCTATTGTATAGTCAAGTACTTTACTTACCTCTGCAGCAATGAGATACAAAGAATTTTTAAAATGTCCAAAATAGATTAACAGTTTATAATATTTCTTGTAATTTGAGTTGATTGTATAGCATATAATAATTATAGTACAGATCATCAGTCTATAGAAATGGCTGCATGATGCAAGAGCCTAACTCTGCCTTCTGTTGAATTACTCTCATTGCTGTACTTTATTACAGGGCTATTTCCTGATGTAGGCGGAGGTTATTTCTTGCCAAGACTTCAAGGAAAGCTGGGTTACTTCCTTGCACTGACAGGGTTCAGATTGAAAGGAAGAGATGTGCACAGAGCAGGAATCGCCACACACTTTGTAGATTCAGAAAAGGTAACTGGGTGTTTGCTGGAGTGGTTGAGATCACAGGTCTTCAGTGAGTATGAATATGAATGCAGAATTTATTGCATTGAGCTATGTGACCTTGGAGAAAGTACTTAAGCCCCCCTCCCCACTCCTTCACCTTCCCTTTTCTCCTCCATGCTGTCCTACATCACAAGGGCTCCTTCATTTCCTGTCTCATCCAACCTTGAGGGCAGCATTTGTTGTGTATATGCATGCAGCTACAGTCCACCTCTCTTTCAGGGCTTATTGAAAGTTTGCAAAGATTTTAAGATAAGGCTCCTAAGGGGATAAAAGCTTTCTGCCTCTTTAAAGTTTCACATCTTGCTTTCTTTCCTTTTAGTTGCACAAGTTAGAGGAAGAGTTGTTGACCTTGAAATCACCCACAGTAGAAGATATTGCAGGTGTCTTAAAAAGCTACCATGCAGAGGTAAGTAGGTTTCCGATCACAGCAAAGTAAAATACTCACACAGTGAGCGATGGCAAGCGCTAGTTCAAGGCTGTAGAAAGTGCACTGAGGATCATTTACTTTAAAGCTTGGAGGACCAGAGCCTGGGTGTTGCGCTAGCCATCTGATACCTGCTCTCCTCCTGTGCAACAGCACAGCTTGTCTATTGAACTTATATGTTCAGCCTTGGAAGGTACTTTTACAAAAGCCTTTCAATGCTCTATGGCATTTCTGTGACAGAGGTTCAATGTTCAGACTATTTGTGGAGCTGCTAAAGTGAAACTCTAATAATAAAACATGCTGCAGTGTTCAATTTCTTACTTATGTCACCTGAGTTTTCTTATAAAGGCCAAGAATAGAAGGTGGGGAGGTAGCTACCCAGTCAGTAAAGTGCTTGCTGCACAAGCACATCAGGACTTGAATTTGATCCTCAGCTAGGATGTGGTACATTTGTAACCCCAACTCTGGGAAGGTGGACACAGGCACATCCCCTGAGGCTTGTTGGCCAGTCAGACTAGCCTAGATTAAATGGCAAGCTCCAAGTGCTAATAGCATTAAATAACATTTAAAGAAGAATGACATTGCTGGGTGGTGGTGGCACAGGCCTTTAATCCCAGCACTGGGGAGGCAAATGCAGGTGGATCTCTGTCTGGTCTCAGTCAAGGCTTCCCAGAGAAACCCTGTCTCAAACAAACAAACAAACAAATGGAGAGAAATGACATGTACATGTGTGTGCATATACAGAAAGCCAAGAATCCTTAAAAATTACTACTGAATACATGTATCTCCTAAAATTTCACTGCAGTTGTAGTAAAGGAAGAAAAAGAGCATAGATCAAGTCAAATAAAACAAAAGGAAACAAAGGTAGAAGTGAGTTAGCAATATAATGACAGCTTCAAAGAGGAAGGCTCTAATTTAGAATGAGATTATGACATCATCCTACAGTGTGGGAAGCCAGCTGGGGCAAGCTGCATCCTGTGGAGAGCCCTTTAAGGAACCATGCGCCTCTGAAGACCCGCGCAGTGGGCATGGGCCTCTGAAGACCCGCGCAGTGGGCAGGGGCAGAGCAGTGCTGGAGTGCTTGCTCAGCATGTGCAAGGCTGCTTCTTCAGCACTGCTAAAATGAAGGGCTAGTGTAGGAGAGAGGAAGAACTGAGAAAAAGAAAGGGTGATATCGTCAGTTAGAGAGCTAGAGGTGGGGCAGAGGCGGGGATACTTGTGTTGACAGGGGAAAAAAGTAAAAAATGTCTTACGAGTTTCAATAAGTTCAGTTAGACCTCTGAAAGTCTAGCCAAGAGGGCAGGGATGGGGAGGGGTATTGCTATACAGGAGGGAGAGGGAGCATGCACAGTGGGAAGACCTGTGGTGCCTTTGAGGGGCGAGCTTGCAGAACCAATGTCTGCTGTCCTTCTCCCAAGACTGGCACTCAGGGAGCTCCTGATAGGTGTAGGTACTTGGCTGATCCTTGGAATGTACCATTCAGTTGCCAGCTGTGGTAGACATGTCTGTCATACAACTCACTAAAGGTCAACAGAGCCATCCAGAGTACTGGATTCTTAAGTATCAGAATGGAGAAACATGATATACATGGTTTAAAGTGAAAGATTGGTTGGGGTTCAGTGTTAAAACAGCGTTCTAATAGGACTGCCTGTACAGAGCTGTCGGTAAAAGTAGTTCATCCAAAACGCAGGCCCAATTGCTCATTCCTGTGACCCAGCCTCACCTTCCAATACGTATGTGTTCTCTACCATAAGAATGACTTTGGTAAATCGGCATTACTTTATAAGAAGGCACCTGGATTATGTCATGTGAGATATGGGTTAATAGAAGAGAGAGTGACTAAAAAATATACACAGGAGAGCTCCCATTGGGAGGTAGAACAGCCATAAAGGCTGAAGACTGGACTGTTGTTGGCTTGCACTTGTGGTTGTCTTTCTAAGGTCACTTTCTCCCTCTGAAGGCAGAGCCAGCCATGCCCTGGACATTTCTAGCTCTGATGGAGATTGACATGGTGTTCTCAGGTCTCATGTCCTAGACTCTTTATCCTTATATTCATAGAAACATTTAGATGTTAAGAAATAAATAAATGAAAGATTTTTTATTTTTTTGCCTTTGGCACTTTCAAGAGCTTATCTGGAGTTCTGCAGATTGTCTGAATTTTGAACATATGGTGGCAGTTATTTATGAGAGTGTTAAATGTAATTTGAATGAAAGTGATAATCTGTCACAAAGTATATCATTAAACGTGATGAACTTTTAAAGGATTTTTAAAAAAGATTTGAGTCACTTCAGAGTACTTCTTTTCAAATAGTCCAAGATGGATCAAGACAAACCTGTCATATTTGAGGAACACATGGACAAGATAAACAGGTATGTAACACAAGGTACTGATCATGCTGTCCTTTGGAAGGCTGTATTAAGTCAGGTCTGCCCCCCTTGTCATTTTATTATTTGATAATGCTCCACAGTTTGAGATGGGTAATTTCCTGCTTTCATTTCCATTTACCTTTCAAAGTGAGGTCTCACCTTCTCTTCCAAGAGAAAATTTTCATTGCTGTCCTCTCCCATGCTTACTCATTTTAATAAAAATTTATCTCTTTAAAAAGTTAGAAAGAAAGGTCAGAAGACAAACGAATTACCTTACCTTTGTTTTCACAATGCCATCTTCCCAGAAGGGATTATTAAGCTAGTCAGCAAGAGGCTTTGTGTGTGAACTAGAACCTATCCAACTTACCCAAGGAAAGAATGGGAGGAAGACGACTGGGATATAGTGCTACTGTCTTCTGTTTTGAAGCATCAGGTTTTTATAGTTTAGACATGTATCTAAATGTATGTACCAGCAATGAATGGAAGCAAATGAGAAGCCAAGATTAGGCTATAGTCTCACTAGCAGTGATAGATGACAGGTGCTCCTACCCAGGGAAGTGGTGTGCATTTCCTCCCTCGCAAAAACACATTGAAAGTCATCATGTAGACATGGGGCTTGGGGAAAGCCAGCGCCCAGGTTCATTGATATATTGGAAATAGAAAATTACTTGTGCACTTGTGCAATGGTGAAATTGTGTTTCTTTTCTTTTCTTTCTTTTTAATAGATGTTTTTCAGCCAATACTGTGGAACAGATTATTGAAAACTTACGGCAGGATGGTTCGCCTTTTGCCATAGAACAATTGAAGGTAATGCATGAATCCTTTGGGAAGGGGAAGCCTGTCTGAGGGTTGTCAGTATTCCATGATGGTGTCCCAAGAAGTCTCTGAAATCAGTTCTAAACCTTGGCTATACCCAAATGCCCCTACCTGCTGGCTCTTGAGAATCAAGTGAAACTGGTTATATGTCCTTTGAGTATAACAGAGAAGGATTTTGGTGACAGCATTTCATTTCTGAGTGTCCCTTTGTCTTGGGGAGAATCACATAGAAATGTTATTAGAAGGGTGAGTCACTGAAGAATAGTCACCTGGTGATAATATATTGGTGATTGAGCCTATAAATAATGTTTAATATGTAAGATGGTCTTCTTTAACCAAGCAATTTAATAAAGAAGTGAGATTGTTTAAGCTGGCATGCCTCCATTTTCTGTCACCACTGAGTTGTAAGTAGTATTCCTCAGGGTTAGCAGCACTTTGGACTTTCTACACATAACTGGTAAAAGTGGAAGGAAAACAATTTGGGGGGAAGTGCTGTGTGCATAGGGACTTGATACCCTTGAGCTATCATAGGATTGAGTGTGACACTTCAAGTATTTCAGAATTCTAGGCAGAAGAAAAAGTATGCTTCTTCATACTTGAAATGTGTTTGAACCTGTCTTTATCTGTGTAGATTAACCCACATTGTACTGCATGAAGTAGGTTGGATTTTCATTTCCATTTTGGCAAGACATTCCATTACATGATACTCACATTGACTTTTTCTGCTGTTAAGCATCTGGGGTTACTTGCAGGTTTTTACTGTAAAAGTTGATGTGTCCCTGAACATTTGCATATGTGTCTTATGATAATAGCACAGATTTATGTATCTGTTGGGTATAAACCCGTAAGCAGCATTACAAAACATACCTGCTTTGTGTATACATGTAATCATTATTCTAAATACTCTTCCAATAAGGTTGCTTCTGATTGTATTGGAGCACTGATTAGCTCCACAATTTTACCAATATATGATATCATTTTTTTTTCATTTTGTTCAGTTAAGAGCACATAAAATAACATTGCATTGTGGTTTTAATTTACATTTCCATGATAACTAAGGACATCAAATGCCATTTTATATATTTATTGACCATATGGGTAACTTTTTCATGTGAAGTATCTTTTAAATATTCATCTTATTGATTTGTAAAATTTGTTCTGGATACAAGTCCTTCAGTTGGCATATGTATTCATACATCTTTTTTCCTTTATCATTTACTTTCTCTTCCTGATTCCACATGAGCAAAAAAGTTAATAGAAATACCAGTATCCCAATTGTCTTTCCCCCCTTTATTGTCTGTTCTTTAGGCCCTTTTAATGGACTTATTGGCTACCCTTGAAAACTTTCAGATAAGAAAATATATTGTATACGAAGGCATTAGGACCCTTGATATCTTCCAAAGAGACAAGTCAATGTTATGTTTTACATCTAGAGTGTTCAAGCTCCTGTGAGTTTGGTGACCCCTAGCAGGACTCAAAACTCAGCATGTAATGGAAACAGACAAAGAAAAACCAAAGGAAAGGCACATGCAGTGAGGTCTGGAGAAAACCAGACTTCCAGGTGGAGTCACACAGTGCCTTCCTATTCCCTCAGCACGTCAGTGAAACATGGTTCACTGACAAGACTGTCACTGGGGACTAGTCCTGTAGTCACTCTCCTCCTAGCACAGCAGAATTCCAGTCTCCTTATAAGGAAAGCTCACAGTCATCCTACTGCACATCTGATGTGCTCTTTCCTTTATTTAGGGCTATGTTCATTTCAATGACGTTGCAATTTTCTTTGTAGAGAATTACATTTGTATATTTTTTATTTGATTTATCAGTAGATTATGATGGTTTTGATGCCTTTGAAAATGGGTATCATTTGAAAGTTACTTTTTTTGTTTGTTGAGATATAGAAGTAACACTGAACCAAAAATTCATTCATATATATATATATATATCGTACCTTATATCCAGAACTTGGCTAAATTTATCAATTTTTCCTTGTTGCCTACAAGGATTTTTTTTATAATTATTGTTCTAAGTGTTAGAGTTTATCATTTTTCTGTAGTTGTTAGGATGATCATATAATTTTAACATTTTCTCTGTCTACCCTAGTGTTTGGGATTAAATCCAAGACCTATGTGTACTAAGTAAGGGTTCTACCAGTGAACTATAACCCAAAGCCTATTGTAACTATTTTTCCTCTGTGTTCTGAGAAATGTCATCTTACTCCCAATATGCAGAAATACCTACCTATTCTTCTAAAAGCATTTTGGTTGTTGCCTGTGTTTGTTTGAATGAGAACAGATCCTGTTTGGAAAGAATTACAAACTATAACCTTGCTGAAGGAGTCTGTCACTTGGGGTGGCTTTTGAAGTTTTAAAAGTCCACGGCCATTCCTACTTGGGGATCAATTGAAAGTTCTCAGCTACTGCTCCAGCACAATGCCTGCCTGCCTACTGCCATGCTCCCCACCATAATGCTCATGGACTCTAATCCTTTGTAATGGTAAATCCCAAATTAAATGCTTTCTTGTACAGAAATGGAGAGTCAGTAGATTCCAAGACAAGTTTGAAGGCCTGAAGATATTGGTGTCTGAGCCCAAGCAGTCAGGCAGAGGCCCATTCTTGATGGAGTGGATGCTCTTCCCCATAGTGGGAAGTCATTGCTTGACTCAGTCCATGGATTCCATTCAGTAACATCATTCCAGGGCAAGGAGAAAGATAAAATCAGGCTAGGAAGTGGTAAGAAGAAATTTAAAGCTTTCTCCTTGGACCTTCTTAAGCTATAATCCTTTGTGTTTCTCTTACCATCAAAAATTACAGACAGGTTTTAGTCACATCTATTTAATCCCAAATATGGTGTCCCTCTCACCATCATCTTCCATGGACTTCTCTTTGGTGTCAAGGCTGTTACTCTATACAGAGAAAGGAAGTGGGCTTGGGAGCTCATAACCTTGAATTTGGATTCGAGCTTTCACTTGGGCCAGTTTGTATCAAGGCCCAGCTTCCTCATCCATGAAGTGATTTTACTGTCCCCTTTACAGAGTGGGATTAAACATGTTGAAGCACATCTCTAACTTCTAAGGGAAATGTGCTTCATAAATTTCCCCTTTATATACTGGAAGGATGCCTTAGCAGTTAAGAGCACCCTTGCTTTTCTAGAGATCCATGTTCAATACTCAACATTCATACTCCTCTAAGTGAGGTCTGTCATGTGCGGGCATCATTCAGTATTCATAGGTCATAAAGCAGCAGGTTCAGCAAGCACCTTCCATTGTTACCAGGCATGTGACAATCATGAGTAAGTAGGCCTTTTTAAATTAATTAGTAGCCGACAGAGTACATATAAAAAAAGGAAGTCGTGTCTCCCCCTCCCCCCCCAGGAATGGGCCCTCTGAGCAGTGAATTGTGATGAAGTGCTGGGAGTGAATGCTGGCTTGAACACCACAGGGCTGCTGGAAAGGTGACTTTGTCTCTGGAGACTAGAAAAGCAGAAGGGAGCTGTGTTTAAACATGCCTTTTAGCATAGTGATGTTCTTTCAAGTGCTTCCCTGAGATAACGTGGGTCCATTTTCACTAAGGAAAAGAAGGGGTATGCTAGCAAAATGGTCACTTTATATGCCTGTCAAGTGTGGCACGTAGTACATACAGGTTGCTATGCTGCTGTCCTCAGCCTCACTTGCAGCCATCAAACAAGAACCTGGAACAGAACTGCTGTTAGGAGCTGAATGTGGACTAGTATCCTGAAGGCCCTCACTCAGAAGTTTAGCCCTCTCAAGGGTGCAGCTCATAAAGGCCTTCTGTCATCATCCTCTTCTCATTAGCAGTGAGGTTGTGGGTAAGCTGCTGACACCCCCTGCCGGAACGTTTTCCTGTGTAGTTGTCAAGCTCTAAGCTTCAGCAAGTGCTAAGTGAGAACCTGTCCTTGAGTGTGCATGGGCAGACTTGAGGATGTTACAGAGGACACAGAACCTTTTTCCTGAACAAAACCTGTACATGACTAGGCCTATCACCATTCTGCCATGTGTTGAGGAGGAGTTCCTGAGGAGGAACTTCATGAAGGGTTATCAGTAGTTAATAGTTGCCAGGGAAGGGAAATCATGTACCTCAGTGCTATAGCCACTGGTAAAGTACCATTCTCCAGTACTCCCCCTACTTCCCCCCACCCCACCTCACCACAACCCACCACACCCCATCCCTGGTCATGCTGTGCATGCAGGCAGCCCTAACTAAATGCAGTTGTCCAGTCACATAAAAAAAGACACGAGTCTAGCAAGGGGACTTGTTGCTTGTTGGAAAGAAGAGTGTTCAGTGGGGAAGGGGGATAAGAAGATACCCAGTAGACTATAATCAAGTAATATACATAATACAACACTAAAAAAGAAAATAAAATTTTAAAAAAATGTAGAATTTGAGATGAGAATTCTTTGAACCCAGATTAAACCTTTGAGCCATTCAATAATCAATCTGAAAATTGTATGTGCAATTATAAAGGAGATTGCAGGTATGTGATGGCCTTTTGTATCAGCCAGGTGGTCACAGTCATATGTGTGACTTGGAACATTAGTAATAGAATCTTTAAATTCAGAACATGTCACATGGCATTGCAGCTGAAGGATTAGGTATGCCATTCTTATTTTTTAATTGACATTAAAGAAGAGTTAGTCATGGACTGTTTTCTGTGTCCATGTTTTTCAGAGGTGAAAAACCCACTGCAGTTAAGACACATCCAGATCACAGCTGCTGCCCCTCTCCTCCTCCTTTTTCCTTTCAGCACTTACCCAGTAGCTGGGGTGGGGTCAGCGTAGTGAGCAACTTCTTCCTTCCCTTCTCAGCTGCTCAGCTCTCCTTCCAGTTCTGACATTTGTGAGGAATGTTCCTGCTATAATGTATATTCTGTTTCAGTGTAATCTCTACTTAGCTTATGCCAGGCTAACTTAAATAAGGTTTATTTGAGTAGGCTCTACTGCATTTGTGGAGTGGTCTGTGTCACTGCTGTGGTGGGCTAGAACACTGTTATTACACGTTTTGGCAGGGCTAAGCTAAGGCACAGTTTTTATGAGTCTTTGGCACATGAAGAAGTTCTGCACAGTATCACTTTGGCTTACATAGACATTCAGGGTATTGCATGCAGTAAAGGAGCGGGAGGGTAATGAGGAATATTTTTTTCCCCCAAAGGTAATTAGTAAAATGTCTCCAACATCCCTGAAGATCACACTTAGGCAGCTCATGGAAGGCTCCTCAAAGACCTTGCAAGAGGTACTGACTATGGAATACCGGCTAACTCAAGCATGTATGGTAAGAATGTTATACTGAATATTACTACTTTCTAGTTAGGAAATTCATTGTAGAACATGTAAAATTCAGACTAGAATAAGCAAGTGGCAGACAGATTATCAAGGCTTAAAGGAAAGATAGAGGAATTGGGTCACAGTTTAAGAAAATGGTGAGTCTTTATAAAAAAGCATGGAGAACATTCAGGATTCATGGGCCAAACTTATGCATTACAGGCATCAAAGAAGAAGAAAGCAGTTCAAAGGCATAAAAAATATTTTCAATAAAATCATGGAAGAAAAATTTCCAAATCTAGGGAGACACTATTTAGGTGAACAACACATACAGAACGCAAATATGACCAAAACAAATCCCCACATCACATACCACTAAAACCCTTAAGGTACAGAGTGCAGAAAGGGCAGTGAACGCTTCAAGAAAGACAGGCCAACTCACATAGAAAGGTGGGTTATCAGAATAGCAGCTGAATTTGCAGTGCAGACCTTCAAAGTCAGACAGGCTTGGACCAGTGAACAAGCACAGATCCCAACCCAGGCTATTTGGCCCAGAAAATCTGTGAAAGTAATCTGTGACCATCAAACCACTTTAGTGGATAGTGGAAGGGCACCTCAGACTGAAGAGAAAGATAAGCATAACAAGAGGAGACAGAAATTCATGTTATGTCAGTGGTTATACAAGGGAACTAAGAAAACAAACACTACAAAATCAAGTCTGACGTGTGATAACCAGAACACACCTGTCAGTAGTACCCAAGTATGATTTCAGCTCCCTAGTCAAAGACACAGGTTAGCAGGTTGGACTTAGAACAGGACCAGTATTCTGCCTCTTCCAAGAAACATGCATCACTATCAAAGAGAGATGAGGTCAGGCTGAAAGAATAGTCACAGGTGTCCATTCCAAACAAACAGTGAGGAGACAGGAATTGCTGTCCTAATAGCTGACAAAAGAGACTTGGAATTAAAACTAATCCGAAGCCACAAAGGTCACATCATGCTTATCAAAAAAAAAAAAAAAAATCCATTGAGAGGACATTATAGCTCTAAACATATATACAACAAACTTGGCAAATCTATTTTCTTAAAGCAAATGATACTAGACATAAAGCCGATGATTAACCCCCCCCCAATACATTAGTTGTGACTTCAGTACCTCATTTTCACTAAAGGACATACAATCTAAAAATAAACTGAAAAATAGTGGGACTAAACATCAAATGGGGCTGTTACCTGCAGAATATTGAACCCACACACTGGAGAGTACATTTTGTTTTCCATAGCCTAGGGAATTTTCTCAAAAATTGGCCACATATTATACAAAACAAGTCTCAACAAATAAAGGAAAATTGGAGTAACTCCTTGCATTTTTTTTCTGACTACAAAGGAATAAAGCTAAATATCAACAGTGATAGAAAATATATAAGGTCTTAGAAGTTAAGGTATACAGTATTGAATAGTAAATGGATCAGTGAGGAAATAAATGTCTAAAATTGAATGAGACTGAAAACATAACACACCCAAATCTGTACAAACAAGGCAATGGTTAAGAGGAAAGTTTATAATTAATGAGTGAGTGAATTAACAAGCCATTTCAGAGTGGCAGAGGCAGGAGGTAGAATGGCATGAACTGGATGTGAACTGCAGCAGGTGGGCTGTGAAGAAATGAAAATAATGTATATATCCAGCCTTTTCTTCTTGAAATAGAATCTAGGACCATGAGGTTTATTTGTAAGATGGGAGATATAACATGGTCATAAAGGACTGGGAATTATCCAAAGAGAATTATAGGTGGATGGTTCAGATTGCAGCACATTGCAAGCACTGCACACGTAGTATGTCCCTGCGCTAGTACACAGATTAAAATAGTCCCATGATGTATTGATGTAGCCACTTGATGAAGGGAATTACATTCAAGGCAACACAGTTGGTGGTAGTGACAGGTATTTGAACTGCATGACCTCAGCCCCTTAAGTCCTGTGGCCTCCAGCAGTGATGCCAGGGGAGAAATGTAGAACCCCTTCTCAAGAAAAACCCCTGGGAGGGCAGAGGAGATGTAGAGTGGAATGCAGACATGACTGGCCTGGGAAAGGGAGACCCCTCCTCCTTTTAGTCTGAAAGGGAGAGAAAAGCCTGTAGGCTGCATCAGCCGCACAGATCTAGGTGCAGAGAACGTGTGTGTGTGTGTGTGTGTGTGTGTGTGTGTGTGTGTGTGTGTGTGTGTGTGTGTGTGTGTAGAAGGTTAAGTGAGTGAGAAGGATAGAAGTTGAGAAGGCAGAAATAGTTTAGAACATCACCTTGAGAATGAGTGGTCATGGATTGTGGGCTGTTTTCTGTGCCTGTGAGACATGATTATAAATCATGAATTATGACATTACTCACATTCCTATGGTGTTTTGATAGGTAGATGAGGATGTAGCTAGTGTAGAGAATTTGTTGGAATAGTATAAAGGTTTGCAGGCTAAGAACATTTTCCAGACCAACTGGCCCATTCAGTGGTTTCAAGAGCCTGGTCTGGGAAAGAGCAAGGAAAGGCAGCACAGGTGGAGTGAGTTGCAGGGCCTCACCAACCTGAGGAGGAGCTAAGATGCGCCTCAGCGGACTTGCCTGAGCCAATCAAGTTGGGAGGTCTGAGGGGAGCTGTATGGAGGGGTGTAGTCTCTGAGTGCATGGTCAAGGTTGTAGTCATAGGAATGGAGGGTTGAGGCCGGTGGGAGAGCAAGAGCATGGGAAAAGGGTGCCAGAATTACTCCATTCACTCTTGGCTTTCTTTCAGGAAGGTCATGACTTCCATGAAGGCGTTAGAGCAGGTAAGTGACTCCCTGACTTTCAGAAAGAGGATTTGTGAACATTCTCAGTTAACTTCATTGACTTTTTTAGTGAAGATGAAACTTTTAGAATGGTTACTGTGTGTGTGTGTGTGTGTGTGTGTGTGTGTGTGTGTGTGTGTGTGTGTGTGTGTGTGTGTCTATCAGTCATATGAAAAGGTGTCTCCAGCACTAGTGTTTCACATTCACATCGTGGACTGTTCTCTGATGTGTGTGTCAGATCAGGCCGCCTGTAAACGTGCCCTGCTACTTTTGAAAGGGGCATCAATTCTTGGCTAGAAGCCCTCAGCTGTTCCTCCTTCCTTTTTTCCCTTATGAACGGGCAGTGTCTGCACCCGTGGCCCACTTCCTAATGTCTCATCAGGTAGCATCACTGCAGAGCATATATGTTACATTTTTGCTCATCTCAAGGTAGCACATTTAGAAAAAGCTTATGTTGTTTTCCTCTAGCAAACTTGTAGCCATTCCTTTTATATGTAGTTCTTGTGTTCATAAAGAGCTAATATAAAGTTTTATATGAGTTTTCTTCTGCTTAAATTTTGCATGTCTCTTCCTGTCTCTGCCTCCCAAATCATACTGGCCAATTTTTTGTTGTTTTTTCTTAATCATTTTAGTAGAGCACAGACACTGTGTGTGTGTGTGTGCACGGGTGTGTGCATGTGTGTGTGCATGTGTGTGTGTTACTGCTCTACCACTGACCTATATTCTCCAACCCCAGAAGTATTTGAATTTGTCTGAGTACAAGGTGATGTTTTCTATACCCTGAGATTTGGTAAATTTCTATTGTTGTTGTAGTAGAGTTTTCTTAATTTGTAGTATGACATATCATAAATAAGCATAAGGTGAAGGTCATTTTGGGAGACATGTGGTTTTGAGTCTGCATAGGTGGCTATGTGATTAAAACAAAGTGTGCATCTTTCCTATTAATTCCTGCTGTTCTTGATGCATGCAGATCAGAATTATGGTCTCTGCTCTGGGGCATACTGCTTTAGAGTTGTTACTAAAGTTTTAAATATTATAATGGTCCCTTTGCAAATATAAGACATTTTTAGATGTTTTAGGTAAATGTTTTCAGTTATTTTATGAAAATGGAGTTGTGGTGGCTCATTCCTTTAATCCCAGCACTGAGGCAGAGGCAAGCAGATCTCTGTGGTCTACCAGGCGAGCCACAGCCACATAATAGAGAGATTCTGTCTACAAAAGAAAACAAAACAAAACCCACCAGCAGTAGCAGCAACAGCAAAAAACTCAAAGCACTTGCTTATTAAGTACCACCAGGCCTAGCTGCATAGTGAGACAGCATGGTTGCCTCCTGTTTCAGCATAGACTCTTAGAAAGTAGCTCCAGCATCTGCTGGAGTAAGACTGTTTAAGTATTCTTGCTGCAGTTTACAATTATAATGCTATATCAGCAAATTAGGGAGATGATTGTTAAACATCCTTAATCTTAACATCTAGGATGAAGTTCCTTCTGGTTACAGAAGATAAAAGTGAACCGTGCCAGCAGAGCTAAGGGCTAGAAGCTCTCCCTCCCATAGGCCTATCTTTCTGCATGGGCAGCACTTTTCTGTCTTGCAAGAACACAGTACAGATTTGATTTGTGTTTGCTCCTGTGCCCTTCTACCCAAGGAGGTAGATGTTACCACCCAGCCTCTTAAAGGAGTGAGTCTTACGGAAGGGAGGAATGCCCCAAGACGAGTCTTTCACTGACACTGGCTAGGAAATGGAAGCTTTCAGTGGGGAGGAGTCACAGCCATTTCTGACCTGCTTCCCATAATACACAAACTTATGCCTACTTATTGTCCCCAGCTACCTGAAACTCCCATCTCAGAGCAAAACTAAAAACAGATAACTTCTCCAGTGTCTACATTTAATTGTACATAAAAGTTTATCTGTGCGACAAGCCATCCTTCTTCCTTGGTTCTCAGACTGCTGCTCCAACTGTAATTATTTGGGTTTTTCTATAGAACTTATATATTTAAGACTGGGAATGTAGGCTAATGACAGAAAGCTTGCCTAAGGTTCAATTCTTGGACTGTCACCACCAAACAACAACAGAGCAAACATGGATCTCCCCCGCCCAACACTTCCATTCTTTGTTAAAGTTCTATACCTTAGGCATGGTTGAGATTTCCTACCATAACCATGCTTTTTTAACTGTTTGCAATTGTAGATTGACATGTACTTGTCACAAACAGTATGGAGCTCCTGCACACCTTCCGTCCAGGTGCCCGAATAGCACATGTGTAACTGAGTGCACTAACACCAGAAAATAAATGTTCTCTATTTACTTTCTGAAGTGCTTACACTTAGAATCCTGTGGGGATGTAATGTGTGAGCGATGTCTGTGATGACATAGGAGTAGAAGATGATGTGATTATCTGATGGTGGTCTGATTCTTTTTTTTTTTTTTTTTTTTTTTTTTAATTCAAAGCTGTCTATACTATAGGATTTGGTAAAACGGCAGCATCTACATTTAATTATGTGTATCAGTCTCCATTCCTTTCCTTCAAGTAATTGATTTCCCTCTCAAAGCCTGGTTAGGAGCCTGGGCCTACTGCCCTCCATTGCCTCCCTCCAACCTGCATCAATACTGGTTTTAGTGGCCTGTAATATGGAGATTTAATTTATAGTTCTGTCTGAGGACAAAAGAGCCATGCTTAAGTTGCCAGATTAGTTCACTGGGTTTTATTAAATGCAAACCTTGTAGAAAATCATGCAATAGAAAACCATGCCTAGTAAGACACAGTTATCAGTTTAGTAGTTAAATCTGATAACAGAAAAAGATGTGCTAATGTCTTTGCCTTCTTTTGACAGTTCTCATTGACAAAGACCAGAGTCCAAAGTGGAAACCAGCCAATTTAAATGAAGTTACTGATGAAGATTTGAATAGTTACTTTAAATCTCTGGGAAGCAATGATTTGAAATTCTGAGGTGACCACACCCCTCAGGTTTATTTTGGAACAAGGGTCAGCACACATAATACAGAGGCCAGGTCTGGCATCTTGCCTGTATTCATCCAGCCTGCAAACAGGAAGTAGTTTTCTCACTTCTAAATTATTGGAAATGAAAAAAAAAAAAAAACTAACATTTTTATGATACAGTGGTCACCCGAAGTTTAAACATCAGTGTTTGTATTTCATGACACAACAGTTAGTTCAAACACTAATGTTTATAGAACTTTCCTGCAGCATAGCCATATATGTTACCTGTGGCTACTGGAAGTGACCATGGGTGATGGTTAAAAAAAAAAAATGGCCCCCATAGGGAGTGGCAGTCTTAGGAGGTGTGGCCTTGTTGGAGGAAGTGTGTCACCATGGGGGTGAGCTTTGAGGTCTCCTATGCTCATGCTAAGCCCAGTGACACATTTGCATCTGCTGCCTGGATTCAAGATATGGAACTCTGAGCTCCTTCTCCAATACCTTGTTTCCTGCCATGATGATAATGGCCTAAACCTCTGAACTGTAAGCCAGCCCCAATTAAATGTTTTCCTTTATAAGAGTTTCCATGGTTACAGTGTCTCTTCACAGGAATAGAAACACTTAAGACACCATGACGTATACTGTATGACCTGCAAAGCCTTAAGTGTCAACTGTGATCTTCAGAAATGGTTTGCTGGGCCATGGTTCAAAAGATGGGAAATTCTCAAGAGCTTCAGAGAGCCTTGAGTTACTAGCTCTCATTAAAATGGTGACTTTAGCTTCCTGTGGTAGTTTATATGTTAACCAAATTACATATAAATTATCAAAAATAAAGACCCTAAAATTTGAAGGGGGTATGTTAATTCCTTATAAGCACTTCTTTAAAAAAAAAATGTGAGTGAATTTAAAACAACACTGTGGCAGAAGAGTTACTTTGTAAACAGGAAAATTCTTATTTGGAAAGAAAAAGGTTGTATGAAGTTCCATCTCCAGAATATTAACTCAGCCTTCTCTGGGTCATCAGAACAGACCTCCCCAGCAGAAATGAAATCATTGCTCTTGTTATTTGCAGTATTTGCTGACCTGGAAATAATGAGGAATTAAGAAACTCCAGTTTCTAAGACAGACACACCCTTGCTTTTTATATGTTACATCAAACCTTTATATGAAAAGTTAAAAGCACTTTAAAATAGAAACATCTTTAGTAACTGGAAGTTGATAGAATCTTTCAAATATTTTTTGGTTATGTTTGGTTATGCATATTTGCCTGTAGAGCCATAAGAGGGCATTGGATACCTGGATCTGGAGTTAAGGACAATTGTGAGCTGCCTTGTGGGTGCTGGGAACTGAACCCTGGTACTCTGGAAGAGCAGCTAGTGCTCTTAACCACTGAGCCAGTGCTCCAGCCCCTGACAGATTTAAGTCAGAATAATTTTATATTAGAGTTAGCTAATCATTTAGTTTATAATTTGTTATAATATCTCCTCCATCCCAGGCTCCTGAGAAACCAGGAGAAAGTGAGGTAAGAACAAAACCAACAAAACTGAAAAGATCGTTGGGCTTGAGTTGGGCTCACATTGGACTCATGTCTGCACATTTCCACGGAAGAGGAGGCTCCAGCCCCGAGGGTATTGCTTTCCATTTTCTCAGCTCTTAATCTATTCTTCATGCAGAACTTTCCTTCCTAACAGTTCAGAAAACAAAGCATGTCTGAACTAGTACCATGGTATTGACCATGTTTTACATTTATGTTCTTAAAGCTCCAAAATTAGACCCTAGCAACTCAAGAGCTTGTCTGTGTAAGTGTACTTTCATTCACTTGGTGCATGTTAGCAGTACAGAATAGAAGTCTTTATGTGAAACATCAGTGAACCGCACCAAAAAGTATTTGCTTCAATTAAATACGTACTGACAGCTAATTGCAATTGGACTTTTATTATAGTTACAAAAAACATTTTCACAAAAATATTTGGGAAAAAAAATCACTTCAGAGTTAACTCCTACAGTGAAGGGAATTTTCTAACAAAACTTGAGTTTGTGAGTAAACTGGCAGCTAATTCTTTAGAGCTAGCTTATGGCTCCAAGGAAACACATGGCTTGCTGGGTCATTTCACGTAGATACTATATTTGTGTAGACATTACATACATTACTGTTTGTTGACATCATTTATACATGTCTAGCTTCTGATTTCTAAAATAATAAAATGTAGAACATACCGTCCCATCTTACCAAATGCCAATGGTGATGAAGTAGTATGTGCATATCATGCTATTTATGTGCATTTATTTTTGATGCTTATGAGACAGTTTGGTACAAATTCTTTTGGGCTTAAGATAATCATGTTTTCCCCTTCAAAATTGTGCTTTAAGTGATACCAACCATAGGTGGTTTGCAAACAACTGATAAGGCAACTAAGATGGGAGAATTGTAGGATCAAAAACCTGTAATCAAAAGGTAGCAGTACCAAAGAGACATCAGGGGGACAGTGGAGAATACTGGGGCACTTTGAGAGTTTTAGTAAATAAAGAGTTGGCACATTTATTTCCTCCACTGATCTGCCTCTGCAGTTGTCACTGAGAGGCTATATGCTGCTAGCAGTCCCTGTGCCCTTGCACTGATGTTCCACATGTCCCTGTCCAGTAGTTAAATGAGTCATCCATCTTTCTGAGTCCCTCACCCCCAGTAATCTCCTCCTCAATGAAAGACCTCAAATGAAGATCAGATTTTTTCATATAAAGGTATGAAGAAAGCTGATTCTTTATCAGAGATGCCTCATTAAGTCCAAACTATATCCTGATAACTATCCCGCGTGGTATAAAGTTTGTTCAGCTCTTTTTTTGTTCCTTGTTCATGGGCTGATATACAAAGCCTGACTCAGGGTGAGGGCATAGTGCTTGCTTCATGTAAACCTTTCATCACAGTTCCTGAAAGGGGGTCGAAGCAGGGAGCAGACCTCTGGCTAGATGTGGACCTGGCAGACACCCCTGCTCCACCCTTGAGGAATCAACACGAGACAAAGAAGAAACCTGAAGTTGAAATACTCACATATAACCCAAACCCTCTTGCCATTATCCCCGTGTAGATTGTGTCATGTTCTGAACAACATACATATTATTTTATATGTTTAATTATATATTTTAAATAACAAGAACTCTTGCAATAGGTGTCCTCATATGAGAAACAAATGAGTAAAAAAATTCATGACATAAGCTTTGCCTGAATCATCAGTACAGACATTGGAAACTATGCTGCTTCATGAACTAGAGGTTGTACTTAATGGGACTTATGTGCAGATTGCTGTAGGAACAGAGTGGTTGCTTGTAGCTCTGTAAGCTATTGGACTACAAGTGCAATGGAGTACTGTGATTCCCAGGGCTTAGTGAAATTAGAATTTCTCTATATTTGTATTCAGGTGTCCAAAAGCAAACTGAAAAGATGGCCTGTCACCCACTTTAACGATCCCTTTGCTGCTAAAACTTGGAGGATTCACACTATTTAGCTTGGATTTCAGCATATTAGTGTTAAAACTAGAGGCCTCATTTCTCACTATTGATAGTCAAGTGCCTATTTATATCGTTAACAATACCAAAAGCCTTTCTCCAGTTGTTTTGGATTTTAAGTATGCTGATAAACCATACCACTGAAGGGCTGTGTAGATGGACCTATTTCCTGTCTAGTTAAACTCAGTGTCTAGCACAGCTTGGTGATAATTGTAGACACTCAGCTCCATTCCTCTAGTGACTTTGTCCTAAGTTTTATCTTACTGTTGAACTTTATACAGTTGAGTTCTTTAAAAAATAAAAAATATATACATATGAAAGTTTTAAAATGCCTAATTTAAAACCTCTCTATAACATGGCTAAGAGTGCCTTATGACTGCTAAGTCCCACACAGGTGCTTTACTCAAGAGGAGACTATATGGCTAAGAGTGCCCTATGAGCACAAGTGACTGCTAAACCCCACTCTGTAGTGCATGAGATCTACAGCTCCCTGAATGTCTGCTCCTATATCAGCACCAGCACTGCAGGGAGGCTTTATCCATGGTGGGCCATGACACCTTGGGTAATTTTCACCTTGCAGACTAGGCTTCTGTCATTTTTAAGATATGATGGATAAAAGATACCGAAGAGCTTATTTCAATGCCATAAACTAATGTCATGACATACATTATCCTTTAAAGATGGCTGTAATGTGCAAAGTTTAAATCATCCAGTAACAGCCATGGCATGACCCTGAGGCTTAGTGTGATAGTTACCCTTTTCATTTACAAATTCAATTTCCTCCAAAGAACAACCTTCAAGGGGGGCCTCTTCTCTGGAGGTTTTCTAATTGTAGGTTAGAGGCTGCAGGAAGCAAGTGGGCAGTCCCTGATGAAATGGTGTTGACAATCTGACAGGCTGTGGGTCACTATGGCTGGAGAGCCATTCCTCACCAAAGCATTTTAAGGAAACCCCTTTTCATGTTCTGGGCTTATTTTTTGGTGTAGATTTACAGAAATAGTTATTTTAAAGTCAGTCCTTAAAATAACCATTTGGAACTTGGGCACTTTTTATTCAACATTTTCTTTGGTGATGCCATTACTGCTTGAGGAAGAGCATGCCATGGCAGACAGCTTGCTGTGACCCAAATTTGAGATCAAGCAGATACACATTGATGTTAACATAGAACTGCTTAAAATTATATTTCATCATAAGCTTCCTACACCAATATCATAGACATGGTTTTACATCCAGTTGGAGTTTTAAAACTTATTTCATGTATTTAAGCTAGCACCGACTACATCCAGAGCACAGCAAAGTGTCATCACCCAACAGCAGTGTCAGAGCCCTCACTCTCGATGTATGGGATGTTGTAGTACTTGATGTTTTCACATGTCCACTGCTGCAAGGCATCCTGCACGATTTCCTTGGCCAGGCGCTCTGCAAATTCAAGGACCACAGCACTGGGCTCTGGGAGTTTCTTCACTTCCTCTTGGTCTCCAGGTTTACCTGGAGAAGGGGTCCTTTGTTGACAGCTATCATCTGGCATAAAGGCTTCTTCACTCTCATGTAGCTTGTCTAATGTGGTAGGAAATGGGAATGTTTGCTTTGATTTCATGCAACCCATGGTGTAGAGCTTTGGCAGAGTATAGGCAAGGTGTGTTAATTAAGACAGCTTCAACAGCATCTTTGGAAAACAATGCAGGATTGTTCACACGGTGTTGACCGGGCTTCCTCTCAGGCCACTTGGCAGCCACTGGTCCCTCTCAGTACTCTTCACGTCTTGTGTTTACCTGTCAAGAGAAGGGAGTTTTCATTGTGAGGTTCTGTATGATGTGGTAATGTGGAAGCTCTTGGTTCCTTGAAAGAAAAGTGGAGTTACTAACAACCAACCATATCAGCCAACGCTGGATAAATCAGTCAGTGGGAATGACAGGACACTCATCAAACATTGCTTTGAGCTCCTGAAAATTTTGTAAAAATAAATGGAGTAAAACTTTACAGTAACAAGTGATCATTCTTGGACTGAATTTCAAGTACATTTTTTCTATTTTATTTCTTCACAATTTCATACATATATAATATACTTTGCTCATATTCTCCCTATTACCTTCTTACTCCTTACTCATACCATCAAACCACCAACCACCCACCCCCAAATCACCCTCTTTTTGTGTTTTTTGTTGCTGTTTCTCTTCTTCCCTCTTTCCCTTTGTTGCCTCCCTCCATGGGTGGGTGGGTGTCCCACAAATTTAATTTGGCAGTTTTAAAGTCAGTCCTTTAGAAAACCATTTGAAA